TTTTTTTTTTTTTTTTTTTTGGGACAGAGTCTTGCTGTGTCACCCAGGCTGGAATGCAGTGGCGAGATCTCAGCTCACTGCAACCTCTGCCTCCTGGGTTCAAATGACACTCATGTCTCAGCCTCCTGAGTAGCCGGGATTGCAGGTGTATGCCACTATACCCAGCTAATTTTTGCATTTTTAGTAGAGACGGGTTTCACCATATGGGCCAGGCTAGTCTCGAACTCCTGACATCGTGATCCACCCGACTCGGCCTCCCAAAGGGCTGGGATTACAGGTGTGAGCCACCTTGCCCGGCCCAGAAATTAACTTAAGGCAATTTTAGTTCAGGGTTGGTAAGGGAGTCTACATGCTTCCAGAGTTGAGGACAGTGGGGAGAAGAGGAGTTCAGGAACAAGTGGGGACTGGCACCTATAGAGTGAGATGTAGCTAAGCATTTTTTTTTCTCTCTTTCTTTTTTTTTTGAGACAGAGTCTAGCTCTGTCACCCAGGCTGGAGTGCAGTGGTGCCCTGTTGGCTCACTGCAACCTCCACCTCCCTGGTTCAAGCGATTCTCCTGCCTCAGCCTCCTAAGTAGTTGGAACTACAGGTGCGTACCACCACACCTTGCTAATCTTTGTATTTTTAGTAGAGACGGGGTTTCACCATGTTGGTCAGGCTGGTCTCGAACTCCTGATCTCAGGTAATCCTCCTGCCTCAGCCTCCCAAAGTGCTAGGACTACAGGTGAGGGCCATTGCACCCAGCCAAGCTGAGTGTCCTGAAGCACTCAGAACCAGTGTCCCACAGTGAGCACTGTGAAGAGGCATACAGGGTTCTTCTTGCTCTGCGGGAGGCCAATTCAGAAGCAGGAGACGAAGCCCCCACGAGTGACCTGCAAGCAGCTGAAGAGGAAGCATGGAGGCTGCTGGCACAAGAGGAGGCCACCATGGATGCAGGGGCACGGCAGAATCCACAGCCAAGGTACCTCCCCGGAACCCTGGGAACTGGCCTGGTTGAGGAGTGGGGTCTTGACTGGGGAATGGGGCTCCCAGAGCTCACCATGTTTGGGGGCTTGGTGTGGCTGTGTCCAGCAAGGTTGGTATGGAGCACACTGTAGTTGGTTGACATGAGGCTCAACGGCAGTTGGCCTGTTGCTACTTGACAAAGTTAGCATGGTGGTTGACAGATATTGCAGTTGGCGTGAAGGTGGATAATGATGCCTATATGTTAAAACTGGCACCCACAGCCGGGCACAGTGGCTCACGCCTGTAATCCCAGCACTTTAGGAGGCCAAGGCAGGCAGATCGCTTGAGCTCAGTAGTTCAAGACCACCCCTTGTAACATGGCAAAAGTCCTTTTCTACCAAAACTACAAATAAATTAGCCAGGTGTGCCCATGTAGTCCCAGCTACTTGGGAGGCTGAGGTGGGAGGAAGCCTTGAGTCTGGGAGGTGGAGGCTGCAGTGAGCTGAGATTGCACCACTACACTCCAGCTTGGGTGACAGAGGGAGACCCTGGTTTTTGTTTTGTTTTGAGACGAATTTTCACTCTTGTCACCCAGGCTGGAGTCCAATAGTCTGATCTCGGCTCACTGCACCCTCCGCCTCCCAGGTTCAAGCGATTCTCCTGCCTCAGCCTCCCGAGTAGGTGGGATTACAGGCTCCCACTATCATGCCTGGCTAATTTTGAATTTTCAGTAGAGATGGGGTTTCTCCATATTGGTCAGGCTGGTCTCGAACTCCCGACCTCAGGTGATCCACTTGCCTCTGCCTCCCAAAGTGCTGGGATTACAGGCGTGAGGCACCATGCCCAGCCCCAGCTAATTTTTTTATAAAGACGGATTCTCACTCTGTTGCCTATGCTGCTCTCAAACTTCTGGCTTCAAGCAATCCTCCCGCCTCAGCCTCCCAAAGTGCTGGGGTTACAGGCGTGCATCACCGCACCTGACCAAAATGTGGTCTTGATGGAAGATGGTGCCTAGTGGGGTATGTTGGTGTGACAGGGGCCACCACAGATGGCAAAGACTCCATCGTGGCCAGTGAGATGGAAGATGATGGACCCTACCAGGATTGGCATGAAGTTAACCCACCTATGCCTGCCGGTGTTAACATAGGCACCTCTTCTGTTTTCTGTAGCCCTGAGGGCAGCAGTGTGGATAAGCCCACACCACAGGAAGTGGCTTTCCAGCTCCGAAGCTATATCCAGCGTCTCCAGGAGCGCCGTTCTCTAGTGAAGATTCTCTCAGAGCCTGGCCCCACCTTGGCACCCATGCCCACTGTGCCCCGTGCAGAAGCCATGGTACAGGCCATTCTGGGGACCCAGTCTGGCCCAGCTCTTCCCCGACTGGAGAAGACACAAATTCAGCAGGACCTGGTGGCCACAAGGGTACAAATGGGCTGTGGTCACTGTCAGTTTTTCTTGGCGGGACAAAATCCTTTACTGAGGTTGGGGGATCAAGGAGCAAAGGAGAATTCTCCTGGGCTGGGTGCAGGCATTGTGAAGGGGAATTGGAACTGGGGTTTTGAGGGATTAATAGGAGTTTGTCTTCTGGGGTTCAGTTTCTCAATAGACTACAAATCTGGCTCTCCAAAATGCCCTTCGTACGGGAAGAGATGGGAGCAAAGAACACAGTCTTGGGTTTGTAGCTTGGCATGAAAACCTTGAGATTCTGAAGCTGGAGAAACTCCAGAAGCTTTGACAGAACTGCTGTATGACCTATGTAAGCTACTTGCCCTCTAGGAAATGCCATTTCTACAGCTGTGGTTTTTTTTGTTTTTTTTGTTTTTTTTGAGACGGAGTCTCTCTCTGTCGCCCGGGCTGGAGTGCAGTGGCCGGATCTCAGCTCACTGCAAGCTCCGCCTCCCGGGTTCACGCCATTCTCCTGCCTCAGCCTCCCGAGTAGCTGGGACTACAGGCGCCTGCCACCTCGCCCGGCTAGTTTTTTGTTTGTTTGTTTTGTTTTTTTGTATTTTTTAGTAGAGACGGAGTTTCACCGTGTTAGCCAGGATGGTCTCGATCTCCTGACCTCGTGATCCGCCCGTCTCGGCCTCCCAAAGTGCTGGAATTACAGGCTTGAGCCACCGCGCCCGGCCACAGCTGTGGTTTTTATGGGAGGAAGATATTTCCACCTCACAAGAACATGGTGAAGGTCCTAGTTTGTTTTTGTTTTTTTTTTTTTTTTTTTTTGAGACAGAGTCTTGCTCTCACCCAGGCTGACGTGCTGTGGCGCTATCTCGGCTCACTGCAGCCTCTGCCCCCACCGGGTTCAAGTGATTCTCCTGCCTCAGCCTCCTGAGTAGCTGAGATTACAGTTGTGCACCACCACACCCGGCTATTTTTTGTATTTTCTGTGGAGACGGGGTTTCGCCATGTTGGCCAGGCTGGTCTCGAACTCCTGACCTCAGGTAATCCACCCACTTCGGCCTCCCAAAGTGCTGGGATTACAGGCATGAGCCACAGTGCCCAGCCAAAGGTCACAGTTTTTGTCTGAATAGGCCTCAGTGGGTGCCTCTTGGGGCCTCAGTTTCCCTGCAGTTGACCGTAGAAGCAGAAATTCTCTCCCCTCTCCTTGGTCCCGCAGGAGGCCCTGACAGACCTGATGCTTCGGCTGCAGCTGGTGCGGCGTGAGAAGCGGGGCCTAGAGCTGCGGGAGGCTGCCCTCCGAGCCCTGGGTCCAGCTCACGTGCTCCTGCTAGAGCAGCTGCGGTGGGAACGGGCGGAGCTCCGGACTGGTGGGGCAAACAGCAGTGGTGGACATAGCAGCGGAGGTGGCAGCAGCGGGGACGAGGAAGAGTGGTATCAGGTGAGCCGCCCTGCCTGAACCTGGTAGGGGTAGTAGCTTACTAATGAGAACATAGCCCTTGTCAATCACAGACCCCCTTTTTTTTTTTTTTTTTTTGAGACGGAGGTTTGCTCTTGTTGCCCAGGCTGGAATGCAATGTTGCTATCTCTGCTCACCGCAACCTACGCCTCCCAGGTTCAAGCGATTCTCCTGTCTCAGCCTCCTGAGTAGCTGGGATTACAGACACACACCACCACATCTAGCTAATTTTTGTATGTTTTGTAGAGATGCAGTTTCACCATGTTGGCCAGGCTGGTCTCAAACTCCTGGCCTCAAATGTTTCGCCTGCCTCTGCCTCCCAAAGTGCTGAGATTACAGGCATGAGTCTCTGCGCCTGTCCTTAGTGCAGCTCTTTGAATCATCTCTCCCACCTCCAAGCCTTTGTACATTCTGTGTCCCTGCCAGGAACTTCCCTCTTTGTGTCATAAAGTCCTTGACCTCCTGTAGATCTCAGCTTAGACATCACCTCCTCAAGGAAGCCTTCCTGGAGTGACTTCAGATGAGGTTTCCTGTTATTTATTTCCCTTATCAGGTTACCCAGGCAGGGTGGTCCCAGATACTGGGGAGGCTGAGGTGGGAGAATCACTTGAACCCAGGAGTTGGAGGCTTCAGCGAGCCACAATTATGTCATTTCACTCCAGCCTGGGCCACAGAGCGAGACCTCATCTCTCTTTTCTATTTATTTATTTTTTGAGATAGAGTTTTGCTCTTGTCGCCCAGGCTGGAGTGCGATAGTGCAGTCTTAGCTCACTGCAGCCTCCGCCTCCCGGATTCAAGCAATTCTCCTGCCTCAGCCTCCCAAGTAGCCGGGATTAAAGGCGTCTGCCACCGTGCCCAAATATTTATTTATTTATTTATTTATTTATTTAGAGATGGAGTGTCGCTCTGTTGCCCAGGCCGGAGTGCAGTGGCACAATCTCGGCTCACTGCAACCTCCGCCTCCCAAGTTGAAGCGATTCTCCTGTCTTAGCCTCCTGAGTAGCTGGGATTACAGGGGTCTGCCACCATGCCAAGCTAATTTTTGTATATTTAGTAGAGACAGAGTTTCACCATGTTGGCCAGGCTGGTCTTGAACTCCTGACTTCAAGTGATCCACCCGTCTCGACCTCCCAAAGTTCTGGTATTACAGGCGTGAGCTACCATACCTGGCCCCTAAATTTTATTTTTAGAGATGAGGTTCGAGACCAGCCTGGCCAACATAGTGAAACCCCGTCTCTACTAAAAATACAAACAGTAGCCAGGTCTGGTGGCATATGTCTGTAATGCCAACTACTTGGAAGGCTGAGGCAGGAGAATCACTTGAACCTGGGAGGCAGAAGTTGCTGTCAGCCAAGATCGTGCCACTGTATCCCAGCCTGGGTGGCAGAGTGAGACTCTGTCTCAAAAAAAAAAAAAAAATTTTTTTTAAATTAAGTAAGATATTTCCCTTATCAGAGTGTAATTTCGCTCTTATTGGGGTATGGAACCAGACGGGGGTCTCTGAGAGCACAGCAGCTGCCACTGTCTGGGCAGCTTCAATGTCCAGTGAGGGCCAAGCATGGACTTGGCCCAGGTTAATGTCACTTTCTTGTCTTCTCTCTCCCTTAGGGCCTTCCTGCTGTGCCTGGTGGCACCAGTGGCATTGATAGTGGCCAGGTGGGCAGGGCCTGGGACCCAGAGAAGTTAGCCCAGGAACTGGCAGCATCGCTCACCAGGTGTGTGGCTGGGTGGGGATGGGCAGCCTATGTGACAGCCCCCGGGGGGGTTGTCTGCAGCAGAAGCTAAGGTGTACCCCTGTGTACAGGTGTGTTTACATGACAATACTGTGGGCAGGTGGGTAGGAGGAGACGTGGGAAATAGGATGGGCTAGGGCTGTGAGCCCTCCTCTTCCCCTTCGCAACAGGACGCTGGACCTGCGGGAGCAGCTGCAGTCTCTGCGCAGGGAGCTGGAACGGGTGGCTCAGAAGGGGCGAGCCAGACGGTCTCAGAGTGCCGAGCTGAACAGGGATTTATGCAAAGCCCACAGGTGGGACCCCTGTTCTGCATCCCTCCAATCCCCCTGGCACCATCCCCCACCAGGATCTCAGAGGTATCCCTGGCTCTCTCTGGGCCTTAGCCTTCCCCGCTGCCCCAAAATAGGCAATAAAGGCCAGGCACGGTGGCTCATACCTGTAATCCCATGTTAGGAGGCTGAGGCTGGCAGATCACCTGAGGTCAGGAGTTTGAGACCAGCCTGGCCAACGTGGTGAAACCCCATCTCTACTAAAAGTACAAAAATTAGCCTGGCATCTTGGCACGTGCCTGTAATTCCAGCTACTTGGAAGAAAGGAGAATTGCTTAAACCCAGGAGTTGGAGGTTGCGGTGAGCAGAGATCACACCACTGCACTCCAGCTTGAGCGACAGAGGGAGACTCTGTCTCAAAAAAAGAAACAACAGACTGGGCCAGGCACAGTGGCTCATGCCTGAAATCCCAGCACTTTGGGAGGCCAAGGCGGGCAGATCACCTGAGGCCGGGAGTTCGAGACCAGCCTGACCAACATGGAGAAACCTCATCTCTACTAAAAATACAAAATTAGCCAGGTGTGGTGACACATGCCTATAATCCCAGCTACTCGGTAGGCTGAGGCAGGAGAATCGCTTAAACCCGGGAGACAGAGGTTGCAGTGAGCCGAGATTGGGCCATTGCACTCTAGCCTGGGCAACAAGAGCAAAACTCCGTCTCAAAAAACAACAACAAGAAAAAACAGGCTGGGCACAGTGGCTCACACTTGTAATCCCAGCACTTTGGGAGGCCGAGGCAGGCGGATCACCTGAGGTCAGGAGTTCAAGACCAGCCTAGGCAACATGGTGAAATCCTGTCTCTATTAAAAAATACAAAAAAAATAGCTGGGCATGGTGGCGGGTACCTATAATCCCAGCTACTTGGAAGGCTGAAGCAGGAGAACTGCTTGAACCCAGGAGGCAGAGGTTGTAGTGAGGGGAGATCTTACCATTGTACTCCAGCCTGGGCTACAAGAGCGAAATTCTGTCTCAAACAACAACAACAACAAAAAGACCAGTTAGCTGGGACCCTGGGAGACCCAATGTGAAAAAGCCCCCATTCTGGGAGTGGGAGTACATGGCCCCTGCCTTGGGTGGAGTCGGGGGCTATTTCTTGACCCAGCCACCCATCCCTTCCAGTGCCCTGGTCCTGGCCTTCCGAGGAGCCCACCGGAAGCAGGAAGAGCAATGCCGGAAGTTGGAGCAGCAGATGGCACTCATGGAGGCTCAGCAGGCTGAGGAGGTAGCGGTGCTCGAAGCCACTGCAAGGGCCCTGGGGAAACCCAGGCCGCCCCTCCCGCCTCCCCAGCTTGGGGATACCGTTCTGTAGGCCCCTTACCCAGCCATGTCTGGACATGCCAGACTGCTGTGGCATGTCATAAACTATCCTGGAGTGACATCATGTCATGTTGCATGATTTGGCGTGTTGGGGCACATTTGGCATGAGGGAAGCTGGTGCACATGGGTGTCCAGGGCCTGATGGGTGTGGCCACGCAATGCAGAAAGACTTGGGTATCTTTGGCCTGGCACCAAGTGGAATTTGAACTTCACATCAGTGGGGTCAGGCCAGAAGCAACCTGGGCTGTGGGACCAGGTCCCTGGGACTGACGCATTTTGGAGGTCCAAGAGGTTGCATAGCCACAGCTGAAGTTCCAACTGGCCTGTCTCCCGAAGCCCAGGGAGGGATTCATGGGGACTGGACAGAGCTTCTCCTGGCAGCCCCTTCCCAAGGAGATGCTGGGTTTGGCTGGCAGATTTTCCTGAAGGGGGCTGGGCGCAGTGCTGCACGCCTGTAATCCCAGCACTTTGGGAGGCCAAGGTGGGTGGATCACTAGAGCCCAGGAGTTCAAGACCAGCCTGGACAACGTGGTAAAACCCCATTTCTACAAAAAAAATACAAAAATTAGCCAGGCATGGTGGCATGTGCCTATAAAGCTATCTAGGAGGCTGAAGTGGGAGGATCACTTGAGCTTGAGAAGCAGAGGTTGCAGTGAGCTGAGATCACACCACTGCACTCCAGTCTGGGTGACAGAGTAAGACCCTGTCTCAAAAAAACAAAACAGGCTGGGTGTGGTGACTCATGCCTGTAATCCCAGCACTTTGGGAGGCTGAGGCGGGGAGGATCACCTGAGGTCAGGAGCTTGAGACCAGCTTGGCCAACATGGCAAAACCCCCGTCTCTACTAAAAATACAAAAATTAGCTGGGTGTGGTGGTGTATGCCTGTAGTCCCAGCTACTCAGGAGGCTGAGGCAGGATAATTGCTTGAACCCGGGAGGCAGACATCGCAGTGAGCTGAGATCACGCCACTGCACTCCAGTCTGGGTGACAGAATAGGACCTTGTCTCAAAAACACAAAACAGGCCGGGTGCGGTGGCTCACACCTGTAATCCCAGCACTTTGGGAAGCTGAGGCGGGCAGATCATGAGGTCAGGAGATGGAGACCATCCTGGCTAACACGGTGAAACCCTGTCTCTACTAAAAATACAAAAAATTAGCCGGGCACGGTGGCGGGCACCTGTAGTCCCAGCTACTCAGGAGGCTGAGGCAGGAGAATGGCATGAACCCAGGAAGCAGAGCTTGCAGTGAGCCGAGATCGTGCCACTGCACTCCAGCCTGGGTGACAGAGCGAGACTCCGTCTCAAAAAAAACACAGGGCCAGGCACAGTGGCTCACGCCTGTAATCCCAGCATTTTGGGAGGCCAAGGCGGGTGAAGGTGGGTGGATCACGAGGTCAAAAGATAAAATCCAACATAGTTAAACCCCATCTGTACTAAAAATACAAAAATTAGCTGGTCGTGGTGGTGCATGCCTGTAATCCCAGCTACTTGGGAGGCTGGGGCAGGAGAATCACTTGAACCAGGGAGTCAGAGGTTGCAGTGAGCCGAGGTTGCGCCACTGCACTCCAGCCTGGTGACAAAGCGAGAGTCCGTCTCAAACAACAACAACAAAAACAGGCCGGATGTGGTGGTTCATGCCTGTAATCCCAGCACTTTGGGAGGCCGAGGCAGGGAGGATCACCTGAGGTCAGGAGTTTGAGACCAGCTTGGCCAACATGGTGAAACCGCCGTCTCTACTAAAAATACAAAAATCAGCTGAGTGTGGTGGCGCATGCCTGTAGTCCCAGCCACTAGGGAGGCTGAGGCAGGATAATTGCTTGAACCTGAGAGGCGGGAGTTGCAGTGAACTGAGATAGTGCCAATGCTTTTCAGCCTGGGCAACAAGAGCAAAACTCTGTCTCTAAATAAATAAATAAATAAAACACAAAACAAAACAAAACAAAAAGGAGGATGCCTATATTCCAGAGGGAAGACTGAAGCTGGAATGGTTCAGATTCAGGATGATGAGTTGCTACTAACTCAAAGCTAAGGTCAAGGGTTTCTGGACTCCATGTAGTCGAACTTGCCTGTCATCCCAGTGTCTCAGGAGGCTGAGGCAGGAGGACTGCTTGAGCCCAGGGGTTTAAGACCAGCTTAGGCAAAATAGGAGAGTCTGTTTCAAAAATAAATAAATAAAATAAGGTAAAGGGTTTCTGGGTGGGGGACAGGCATAGCAAAGGTAACAGTCTGGGACTCAGGTGGCATTGTACTTCAAGAGAAACTCAGAACGAATGCCAATGGGGGCCAGTTCCAGCTTTCTCCTGGGGGCCCGGGAGCTGTGGGAAGTGTCAGGTTAATAGCAGGCAATGGATTAGCACGTCATTTGCATAAGCCACATCTCCCCGCCCCTCCACACCAGAACTGGCTGAGTCCGGGAAAGGGGAGCTTGGAGTGACCCAGCCAGGCTTGGATTAGTGGCCAGCTGTCCCCCTTCAGGGCGGCAGCTGAAACCCAAGACGGGGATTAGAAAGGTTTTCATTCCCAGCCTTGGGGGTGGGTGCTCCACGCCTCACCTGTGCAGGTGTGTTCACCGCCTCTCCCAGGGCAGGACCACGCCAGCCTGAGGTCAGCGCCAGTCAGCGGCCTGGACTCGAATCCAGTCAACCTGACCCCAGAAACAGAACAAGAAGTATGGTAGGGAGCACAGTCCCCTCCAGCGAGGTCTGGGGCTAGTGACCTTCCGACCTACACGCTGTTCCTGGACTTGGGCCAACTTTGAAAAAAGCAGGAAAACGGAGGCAGACCACCTTGCTCGTTTTGGGGTGGGGCAGAGAAGCTGAATTTCTTCTCTGTATCCCGCCGACCCCCAGAGTCTAAGACCTACCTGTGTTCTTGGTCCCACCAGGTGGTTGCCTGTGGAGGGGCAAAGGGAGCCAAGGTCACATGTGGCCATGTGGCGGGGGGGTGGGGACAGGTTCCCAGGCTGCCCCAGCAGGATCTGGCCATTCCCACTGGTGCTCCCTTGGCAGATGGGCCTAGGCCCCTTTGTCCCCAGTTTGCAGCCGCCGCAAGGTCAAATGTTACCGCGGGGCCGCGGGCAGGGTTCAGGGAGGCGGAGTAGAACCTCGATCCACCCCCAGGCGGGTCCCAGGGGGCACACGGGTGGCCAGGCTACTGTGAGGGGGTGGGGCAGCCTTTGGGACTGGTACTACTGGAGTTTCCGGGATCTGCACGGTGGTCTTTCTTCCCCCGTCTCCCACCCAGCCCTCAGCCCCCTCGCAAGACTTGTCTCCCTCAAACCTAGTTCTCTGCTCCCTCCCCTTCACAATCCCCTGATTCCTTGAGTCTTCCCTCCCTCTTCTTTTTTTTTTTTTTTTTTTTGAGACAGGGTCTTGCTCAGGCTGGAGTGGAGTGACGTGATTATAACCCACTGCACACTGCAGCCTTGAACACCCGGGCTCAAGACAAGTCTCATTTTATTGCACCGGCTGGTCTTTAACTCCTGGCCTCAAGAGATCCTCCTGATTCGGCCTCCCAAAGTGCTGGGATTACAGGCGTGAGCCACAGCGCCTGTCTGTCTCTCATCGAAGTCTCTTTTCAATCCCTTCGGTGAGACCTCCACCCCAGTGCTCCCCATCAAAGATCCTAGCAGGTCCAGGCAAGGGGCCTAGGATCCCTGTCCTCACAAATTACCAGTCGCATTCCCATGCAGCCTCAGAACCAAAGGGTCTTCTCTGCCCACCCACGCCTTCCTCTCTCCCAGCAGGGATTACATCAGGCTGTAGGCAGAACCCGACTCTAGACCCACGGGAAGTCCTTGCTCATGTCTAATCCTAGTCCTTCCTGCTTTCTGTATTTACTAACGCCTCCTCCTCCACCTTGCAGGCAGCCAGAACGTCCCTGGAACAGGTCGACAGGCCCAGGGCTGGGTGTGCATGGCTCTCCCAGAACCTCAGTTTCTTTTTAAGTGTTGGGAGATCTCTAAGCATCTTTCCCCCTACTCCAGGGAGGGCAATTCTTCAAGTCTCATCGGGGCTCTGGGAGGCAGAGGAGGAGGTGCGCAGAGGGCACAGTCCTGGCCGGAGCTCTCAGAGGCCCAGCTGCATGCTGTGGTGTCCAGCTCTGGGCTCAGGGTGGGGTGGGACCACAGTCTGGGTGGCTGGGGCCGCAAGACTCCGAGGTGAAAGGTCACTCCTGGAACAGCTTTTCCAGCCGGTTAAAGGTTAACCTGTCCAGAGCCAGAGGCTCGGGCTTTTCCAGCTCGCCAGCCCGGACTTCGCATACAAAGGGTGCTTAATAAATGCTGGTCAGGCGGGCCCCAGCCCCGGTTCTGGGGGATGGGGTGAGTTGGAGGTGGCGGCAGCTGCGAGGCTTCAGGGCGCCTGGAAGAGACATCTGCAGTCCAGCCGGCCGCCAGGCCAAGCCCTTTCTGCAAAGCACAGAAAGAAAAGGAAATTAAAAGGGAAAAGGGGCAGGCCCCCGGCAGGGCTGGTGGGCATGCCTGTCGCCTCCAGCCGCGCGGGGCGGGTGGGCGCCCTGCCCCCGGAGGCCAGAAATTCTGCAGAGGGGCCCCCTGACCTCGCGGCCCCGGCCAGCCGGTCTCAGACCACAACATCCCTTCCCCCTGGAGATTCCGGGCACCAGGTGTTAACCCGAGCAGAGAAAGGGTGGGGTGGGGGTCAGACGCGGCGACTTTCTGGAAGAGGAAGCAAACACAATCTAGGATGTGTGTGTGTGTGTGTGTGTGTGTGCGCGCGCGTGTGTGTCTCATGCGCCCGTGTGTCTTGCGCAGGGGCGTGCCCCCCCCGGGTGCCACTGGCCCCCCATCATTGCTTTGCCGGGAACGGTGGGGTGGGGGGAGGTTCCGAGGGGCGCCTCGAGGGTGATCGAGCGACCCAACGTCCAAGGCCAGAGGTGGAGGGGAGGGCCTTGGAGAGACATCTTGGTGAGGCTCGAGGAAGGGCAGAGGGCAGGCGCGGTTCAGGCTCCCGCCGCGGCCCGGCAGGGGTTAAGGCTGGAGCCGGGCGAGGGCGA